AAGCAGTGGTATCAACGCAGAGTACTCCAGTTGTTGAGGTTGAAGCAGATGTTCTTGATGGTTCCGTTGCCCAAGTTGAAGCGGTCAAGTATGTTGTTGGTGAGCGCGATGTTGTCCGTTGTAGGCTTGTTCACGGCTAGCAGGTTTATGTTGCAGTCCCAGAGTCCCCATTCGCGACGGATATTTGTCGTCCTGGTAGGCTGGTATGTATGCTCCTGTAGTTCGAATACGTTTATGTTGCAGTTGCGCGCAAGGTTGATGAAGTTCGTGTTGTCTTTGTTTATGTAGTCTGTATATCCGCCGAACAAAATGCGGTTCACAGTGCACCTGTTAAGTGTCGTGAAGCTTCCGTTATGGCATACCCATTTAGGCGTATAAGAGTTGATGACAGAGTTGGAGTATATGGCCTGAGGGTACTTTAGCGGGCCGTTGGAATTAGACACGTAATACCAGTTTGTCGCGGGCCCACCAAGCATTACCGGTATGCATGCGCCTCCGCTTTCCTTGCTGTAGTAGTATTCGTACCATACTGTTCCAGAGCTCGGGTCCTTGATAAAGGTTGTAGAATAGCTCAGACCAGCCTGTCTCATGAGCTCTGCATTAATGCAGGCAAAATAGCCGTCTTCCAACGGGGAAGACATATAATAATTGGCGCCGTTGTTGTACTTGAGGTTGAGCATGTTGAGGCCTTCTATTCTCAAGGGCTTTCCAGAGTTTATCCTGTTCTTCATTTCGTTCTGGTTGTCGAACAGGCATGAAGAGATAGTTCCGTTCCATGAAGTGAACAGCGCCTGCGCAGAGTTCCTGTAAAGCGCCGTAGGGTTTCCGTTGTAAATTATCATCTCTTATTCTCCTTACAGAGTAACCAAGTAGAGCCTTCCGTTCGCCAATGTACCCGCTGCCTTTCTTGATGTCCAAGTGTCGTAGGTTATCTGCTCTATAGGCAGCAAGCAGTGGTATCAACGCAGAGTACTAGTCACAGGCTTTCCCATCTGAGCCAAGTATACGCTGTTGTCTGTGTTGTCCAATATCATCAGGCTTCCTGATGTAGAGCTTTTCTTCATAATTATTGCAGTGGCATTGTGTCCGTTTATAGTAGAGCCTGACTCACACAAGCCGACCGGAAAGGCGTTCCAGAAGTTGGCTACGGGCGCAACGCCTTCAGTAAAGGAAGTTGCCGTGAAGTCGTGCAAGTACTTGACGAGAACGACTCCTGTATTGCCGTTGACGCTCTGTACCAAGTTGGTGTCTGCTTTTCTGTTCCATTTGCTTCCGTCGTAGATGATGCCGTCACCAGCCACGAAAGTGATGTTGCCGGATCCTAAGTTTCTGGTTCCGCCTACAGAGACGATGTAGTAGTCGCCGGATGTTCCAGTTCCGTCAGCCAATGCAGGAGAGTTTGTGGAAGCGTTCCACATTCCCTTGAATACGATGGCTTCTGTAGGAAGCTGAGCCAAAGGAAGCTTGCCGTTTGCGTCCAAAGAAGCGACTCCGTTAGCCTCTCCCTTTGTGCTTGCCTTGATGTATGTTGTGTCTATCTGGTTGCCGTCTTTGTCTGCCTTGGCCTTGTTTGCAGTAGCATTTAATGTGCCTGATACTTCGATATTGCTAAACTTATTGTTAGCGGCAGCATATTCTATTGTATCGGCATTAACGCCTCTATCGAAAAGAATTGATGTATTTTCATGTCCGACTCCGTTTTCTACGTCAACGTCATGGGCATTTACTGTTGTAATAGAAGCTTCATTGCCTGAGAGCGTAGTTATAACTGCTTCTGTTGCGTTGAGATCTGAAGTAGTCACCTTTCCTGCAGCCCATTCGCCTTCAGTCACTTTGCCGAGCTTGGTTATATTGTTGCTGAATTCTTTTCCTAAGAGCGAGCTTCCGTCCCAAGCAGCTATAGTTCTTTCAGTAACAAGCCTGTCAACGGCATCAGACAATGTTCCATCTAGATGGTCAGAAGGCTCTACCCAATGCGGCTCTCCGTTCTCGTCTGAAGCCACATAAAAGCCTTTTTCTCCAATTTCAGTCGTTCCGTCAGGGTTTACGAACCTGAGCTGTCCCTTCAAGTTGAGGTTGCGGACAAGCTGGTCGACTTCTTCAGGGCCTATGACATACTCAAGCTGTCCCATTACGGTAAGGCCGTTCTCTACAGTGTTGTTGCCCAATACCACTGTGCGCTGCAATGAAGATGGGATATAGTCTGTTCCTTCCTCCGGCCATTCGTTGTAGGTATAAGCTTATCTCCAAGTCTGGAGTGTCAGACAAGTCGTTTACGTCGAACACGTAGTTTATCTGGCCGTCGCATTTCACAGAGAAATAGATGTCTCCGCCTTCGGTATACCTGATGACGGGAATTTTGTCCAATGAAGCCTCAGAATAAGCCACAATGGAGTTCCTGCCGTTCTTTATTATCGTCATGTTCCAGCAGCCGTCAGAAGCTTCCATCTGTATCAAGCCTTTTGTGTTAGGCACTTTGACTACGTAATAGTCGTCTATAGTCTGAAGCACAGGGTGAAGGTTTATGAAAGACTTCTCGTTGCGTGTGTTCTTGCTGTTCTTTATCGTCAATACGTCTATGGCGTTAAGCTCTGCCTGTCCTGCCTGAATATCCCTGGCCTTTACCCTGTCGCCTACTTCGATGTCGTTAGCAACAGTTATGTCGCCTGTAGACAAAAGTCCGTCGTTATGGATGCTTCCAGACTCAATTGAGCTTGTCTCTACGTCTTCTGCAATAACCGACTCTGCGTTTACTGTGCCGGCTGACACGTCTTGCATAACTATGTCAGAGCTTATCTTATTTGCCTTGAGCTCGTCTATGTCAAGGAGAGTTGTGTCTACGGCGTCTGCATGAAGAGTCGTTACGTTGAGTCGCTCAAAGTTCGGGTGCACAAGCTCAAGCTCGCCTATTACTGCCTTGTCTATTCCCACTGTGCCGCTGATATTGGCAATTGACGCATTTGTGATGTCTGCAGCAGAAGCTGTGAGCTTGCCTATTCCCGCTGTTCCGAATGCAGCGATGGAAGCGTCTACGGAATTATGGTGCGCCTCTACGCTCTGAAGCGTGCCAGTGCTGATATTGCTGTTTTGGTCTTTCTTGTACTGGTCCAAGTCCAGCTCTACTTCAGTAACCCTTTCGTTTAGGGCATTGATGTCTTTCTTGAGCGGCTGGTATCCTGACTCTGGTCTTGTTACCTCATCTTCAATTTCGTTTAACATGCTTTCTCTATCTCCTTGAGTTTCTTCCTTAATTGTTCTAGCCTTCGGTGGTTCGCTTTGGCCATTGATGTCTTCTTGTCGTCGATCATGTCTAATGCTCGGTTTTCGAGCCTCTTAATTTCATCTTGAAGGTTTTTTAGTTCTGTTCTAGTCATTTATTTTATTAGTCTGCTATTCCTAATATGTGTTGTCCCACAGCCTGTACAAGAAAGATCAGTTATAGTATGTAGCCGTAAATACAGACAGTCTGCTTAAGGCTGTTTTTCACTTTGATCTTGTTTCCCTTAATATGCGCTACGCTTTCAGATCCTGAGCTGTTCCAGCACTGCCAATAAACTTCTGGCATATTTTCTGATACAGTAAGCTCTATGTTGCCTTCAGCCTCTATGCAGCAGTTTATTACGATAACGCTGTCTATCTTGATGGAAGAATTCTGCTTGACGTTGCCGCCCTTGCAGCTGATCTTTATGTCGGATATTCGGCTCTTTGCCTTCAGTTCCGGCGCATTTGTATTGCTGATAAGGTCGTCTATCCTTCTTATTTCCTTGTTAAGCGTTTCAGTCACTTCAGGCGAGAATAACTTGTTCTTTGGGTCCAATGCGTTAAGGCTCATGTTATGCCCTCCTGTAAGGCACGTCTGCATCTATGTAGAGCTGGCCTCTTTCCTTGTTGTCGAATATCTGCGTTATTGTTATGTCTGTAGTCTTGGCGTTGTAGATATTGCCGTAACATGTGCGGTACCCTACTTCCTGGTCTACCCATTCCCTTACGCCTCTTCTGCCCAAGTAGTTTCCGTAAGCCGTTTTCCAGTTGTCCCATTCTTGCTTGGATGCAGGCACTCCCAATGACTGAATTACCGCACCTGTCCTGCTTATCTGGTAGTAGTTCATTCCTGGCACATAGTTTGTGGAAGTGAAGAAATAAGACACTCCTCTAGGTCCGTTCCTGTAATTTGCCCATGCCTTTTGCATTGTGTCTATATTGATCTCTATGTCGCAGGTGTCTCCGTCAGGGTTCTTGCAGTTCTTGTAGAAGCCAGATATGAACGTTATGATAAAGCCGTATTTCAGCTTGATGCCGGGACATGAGTACCTGCCGAAAGCCTGATATGCGCTCTTGCTCACCTGCAGGCTTACTGAAGCTACGCTTTCCAATATCTCTTCAACATATTGGTTCAATGCCTTTTCATACGCGTCTTTGTCCAAAGTATCGTATTCAGTTACGGTTTCTGAAGTCAATTCTGACACTGAGCTGGATGATCTCGTGCTGCTGAACTCTTCTACAGTAAGCATGCCGTTCCTGTCCAATGTGCCTACGTATGCGGGCTTTCCCCTCAATACTGCGACAATTGGCGTCTCGTAAACAGGCGGGTCGAACTTGAACACGCTTCCTGGAGACAGATATCCATGCAGCGACACTATTCCGTAGTCCTGCTTGGTTTCCTTGGGCTTGTATGTGGAAATGGCCTCTTCCAAGTTGAAAAGCGCCGTATTTATCTTGTCTATGTCTTCAATTCCGATGTCTGCGTTTCCGTCTAGGTAGCTCGGTACCATATCGTCTATCCTTCACTATCTTATCATATCATATCTACTACTAATACTACACATAATATATCTTATTCTCTATATGGGGACACGAGTGGGGGTACACTTGATAAACTGGGTCAAAATGACTCACTTTCTCCACCAAATGCTGATCCTGTAGGTAGTCTTCTCTGACTCCCTGTTCGACGCCACAATGTAGTGCTCGTTGTCTATGTCCCGGACGTTCAAAGATCCGTAGTATGTGTTGCCTTCAGTATCAGAGCCGAAATAGCAGATGTACTCCGGCTTTTCCGTAAGCTGGCACAATATCCAAGTCCCTTCCTCCGGCGTATAGTCGAAAGAAAGGAAATGGAAACCATTCTGGCTCTTGGAAGTCAAGTTGAACACTGAGCTGGAGTACGTTACGTCTGACCGAACGGGCGACAATTCGGCCTGCTTTTGGAAAGACTTTCTCTGAAAGCGCAATGCCTGGCTTCTGATGATGCTGTTTATCTTGTCTTCCTGCTGCTTCTTTAAGCCCGTGTCGGCCAAATACGTTATCATATCTTGTCTTTCCTCTTAAACCTTTACGTTCCTTAAAGGCGCGTCGTTGGCGTAGTTCTGCTTGATGAACGAATACACTTCGTCGTCAGAAAGTCCCCTGTTGTTTGCCATGTTCTGCGCGTTCTGGCTTCTGCGCCTTAGGTTTCTGACAGTTTCCAAGTCCACCGCGTCCGCAGTGTCTCCGATCTTTTCTTCTGTCAGTTCGCCTTCTGCAACAGGTGTTTCCGGCATGTCTGACTTTCCCAACGCAGACAAAGTATTCTTCATCTGCCAGTCGAACTCTATTACTGCTCTTTTTAAAGAGTTTGCAGTTGCTTCATCGCCTAACGTAACTAAGCCTTTTGTTATAAGCGAAACACCTGTTACGGGTTCTACTAAAGTCGTAGCTAAGCCGGCTCCAAGCTCAGAAAGACCAACGAACAAGTTAGCATTTCTGCGGTCTTTTTCTCCAGAAGTCTTGGCGTACTCAACCATCTTGTCATATGCTTCTGTTAATTTTTGGTCCAGTCCCGCCATCTTGCCGAAATATTCTTCATATTCTCTACCAGTAGTGAAATTCGACGTATCTTTTAGGACCTCATGGTATTCGTTTTCTGGCTGTCTTATCTCATTGGTACTAGCTACTTTCTCTCTATCCAATTTCCGATACCAGTTTCTGTTGAAATTAGCACGTATACCAGCTTTAAGTCTTTCTCCTATAGTAGGGTTTTCAGCTGTCAAAAATGCGACATTCAAGCCGTCTTCAGTATTGAATGGTACCTTAGTTCTGAGCTCAGACTCTAAGTTCAAGTCTCCGGCTGTTTCAGCTCTGTTAATTCTGAGAATAGTTTCTGCTTTAGACCTTAAAACAGCAGCGTCTTTAGTAACTTCAGCAAGCTTAGACTGCTCATCAAGAGGGTTAATTCCCTGCTTAATGGTTTCTGCTGCAGACTTCATAAATGCGCCTACTGCTGTCCAGAAGTCGGTCTGTCTGCCGGGAGTCTGATAATATTCTACAAGTTCCTTGAATGTAGGTGTTTGTCTAGATGGGTTAATTCCAAGCTTGTTTTGAATTTCTTCAATGCTATTAGCTGTGTCAATTGCTGCTTTATTTAATGCCTCTTTAGCTTCTGCTTCTTTTTGCTTCAGCTCTTCATTATTCTTGTCTTTCTTACGCTGTTCTTGTATATCAAGAAGTTGTTTACCCAAGTTATCCTGTAGCGTTCTTCTTTCTTCAACAGTTCTGGATATTTCTTCAGGCACCATTTGTCCTATCTCATGAACCATGTTTCGCCAAGAATTCGCAGCGTCCATTGCGGCTTTCATTTTTTCATCTAATTCGGCTTTTTTTTGGTATGCTTCATCACGGGTTATCTCGCCAGCAGCCTCTGCCCGCGCAGCCTCTGCCCTATCCATAGTGATGTTGTGTATTTTTTTACTCAACTCCGGCATGGAAGCTTGCATACCTAGCGCACTTTTTTGTCTTTCATTCGCAAGCCAGTTAAGAGTACCTAAGTCTTTTGCTTCTTTGAATACGTCTTCAACTGTTTTACGAGCTGTTTTCTTCTTGTCGTCTGTTTCTGTAGGAGTGAAGCTTTCCTCGAAGTTCTCTATATTGTCAGAAGAGCCTGAGTCATTAGAGCTTTCGCTTTCCTCATGCTGAACTGTCTCTTCAGATGTCTCAGTAGAAGTCTTCGGCTCGTTTCTTCCTGTGTCATGGTTGCTTTCATGGCCTGTTGTCCTGGTTTCAGTATTGCCTCTTTCTGTACCAGTATCTTCTCTTTCTGCTGTACCAGTCTCTTCCATTTCAGTCTCTCCGACGTCCTTGTCTGCCGCATATAAAAACATTAGTTTTCTGATATCTTTCATTCGTCAAGTTCCTATAAAAAAAGCCGCCCCTTTTTATAGAGCGGCCTTTGTGTTTGTTACTTATCTAATTTAGCTTAGTTCTGTGAAACTACATGTGCAGTAGAGAGGTCAGCCACACCTGCAGATGCTGTCTTGCGCATTACGTAAGCGCCGAATACGTTGCAGCTGATGCGCATAGATGGGCCGTATTCGCCTGCTGTACCCTGCTCGATGTTGAAGAGCTTGTCCATGTTGAGCTTAGGTCCGAAGCTGTCTCCGAGTCCCTGGTCTCCCACGCTTTCGATGTCGTGCTTTCCGAGCTGGTCGTTAGCAACAGCGTCTGTTACGCGTGATACGTTTCCGAGGTCGTAGAATGCCAAGTCGTCCTTTTCGAACATGTAAGCCTTACCTTCAGTACAGTAAGGGTCAATTACAGTGCGTGAAATGAATGCGTCGCCGAAAGCTGTAGCAAGGTCTGAAAGTCCCTTTGTTACAGAGTTCTTGTTTCCGCCTTCATTAACTGCCTGCCAGAGGTTAGTCTGGATGCCGAGTTCATGTCCAATTTTGTCCCAGTCTTCGTCGTTAACGATGAGCATGTCGTTGAGACCACCAGCGCGCTTACCTTTCTTAAGGAGTGTTACCAATGCGTCAGAGCAAGGAGTCTTGCTTGTTCCTGCTGCTACGAACTGACCTGCAAGGCGTGATGCTGCAACAGAACGGTCAACACCGCGGAAGTCTGTTCCGATGTAGCTTTCCCAGTCAGAACCTGTGCGTCCGAAGTAAGCTGGAAGGATGTCGCAAAGACCTTCAATACCGCGTGCTTCGTTGCCTACGCGTGCTGTGTAGAGCTCGATGTAGTCGCCTACATATACATTTTCGCCAGTTACTGAAGCGCTGAATGTGATAGTTGTGTCGTCCATTGCAGTAACTGTACAAATTGCGTTCAATACTGAGCTTGATGGTACTGCCTTGTTGTCTGCGCCTGCAGAAGCAATTACGAAGCGTGAGCCTACGTCAAGCTTCAATGCGCCGGCAGATGTAATTGAAATTGTGTTTGTGGCAGCAAGAGTAAAGTCTTCCTTTACCTGGTCGATAACGCCGTATGAACCACCGTAGAGGTACATAGCGAGCATCTTAGACATGCCGTCGAATGTTCCTGCCATTTTGTTTGCAAGCACTTTCATATAAGCGCCGCGTTCTGAAGCGGATGTCAAAATTTCTGGCTGGTTGATCTCGAAGAAGCCAGTTGCATAACCCTGAGTTGCTGTCCATTCGAGGTTCTTTACGCCAGAAGTTGGGTTGTTTACCAATGTGTTGTAAACTGAACCGAAGTTACCGCCGTTACCATACTGAGCAGCATACTTAATTTCTTTTCCTGAACCCCAGTCTTCTTTCTTAATAGCAGAAAGAACAGGTGAGTTCTGGTATTTGTTATTTGCTACACCGTCAGAAATATAGACCGTCTTAAGTAAGGCCTTAATATAGTTATCACTAACAATTCCCATAGTTTTATTTTCCTCTTAATTTTAGTTGTATTCTTTTAATTCTTTCATCAGCTGTTCGTCTGATGGAATTTCGTCGTTATCCGATGCGACTTCATCTTCTACTTTTTCGTCTTTGATGTCCTTAAGCTTATTAATGCGTTCCTGAAGCTCAGCAATTTTTGCATTAACAACACCAGCCTCGTCAAAGCCTTCTGTGCCATAACCCTCGACATTTCTAAGAGCATCAAACATCTCCTTCTTTAGGTCGTAGTCTGGTCCGCAGATAAGCTTGTAAGGCTCAATAAGAGCTTCAATAGACGGTCCGTAATTCACGTCGAATGCACCGAAGTCTTCGTCATATTTGTACTCGTCTGCAGCCTTCTTAAGGCCTCCGATAAGCACTACGTCGACTTTATGCTCAAGCGCGTCAATTCTGTCCGCTAAAGACAAAAGCAATTCTTTTAAGTCTTCCATTTAATGTTTTCCTTTACTATATTAGTTGCTGCTCTTATACTGCTGATATTTTTCCTTGAAGGACGTATAGCCAACTTCATTTGCCGGAGTAGGCTTAATTGTAATATTTACATTTTCCATCCTTACAGTAATTTCAACATTTTTTGCAGCAACATTGTCTACTATTCTTTGCAAGGCCTCATAGTCTAGGTTTGCTTTATCCAGACGCCTGAGGTCCTTGTTCAGCTGTTTCTGTTCTCTAATTACCTGCAATATTAGCTTCAATAATTGTTTCATTTATTTTATTAGTTTAGACATTTACTATGTCTTCTGCTGAATTATCTAAAGTTGAAACAGGGTTTGCTTCTTCAACTTCCGGCATTCCTGTGGCCATGTTGTTTCCGTTCATGGCTCCTTCTGTCATGTCAACATTGGCTCCAGTATTCATCGGCATTGTATCGGTAATATCTGCTGAGCGGCCAATTTCGCCATAGCTTTCTTCTGTTGAAGTATCAACAAAGCCGTTCTCCGACATAATTTCCATAAGCTTTTCTTCTAATGTCTTAAGGTTAGCCAAAGCCTCGTCAATTTCAGCGTCAGACTTCTTGTCGCCTGTGTATGAAGCATAGAGCTCGTTTTCAGTAACGGCAATTTCCTGCGCCAATGTCTGATAGTTGATGAACTCAGGTATCTCAACATCGCCTTCTTCAATAGCCCTTTCAATGCATTTTTCTACGCCGTTGACTACTGCCTGAGCGCCTGCATACGCTTCTTCAAGGTCAGGAGTATCAAGGTATGTGGCAATTTTAGAAGCTCCAATTAAGCCGCTTTCCTTAAGCTGCAACAATTGAGAAAGCTTTTCAGAAGGGTCTTTGCTCAATGCCGTTGCTGCAGAATATTGGATGTTGAACGAGCCAATTTGCTTCCTTACGTCAGACCATTTGAAAGACGCAATGCCGTCAATATCCTTGAATATCGGCGCTTCTTTCGAAGTGTTGATAATTTTATTCGCCAATTCAACATATGAAGATATATAGTTGTTAACCTGTGTCTCGAAGCGGTCAGACTCAATGTCTTCCATTGTTTTCAACGACGTTCCGCTATCAAGTCCTGAAGGCTTTTTGGCCATTGCTGACAACTGCGAAATGCCTACAATTTCATATGCCTGCTTAATATAATATTCAAGCAAGTTCTGCCAGGCAGGATCGAACGGCGCAGGCGTAATATTCACTACCGGCGGAGTATTCGTTCCAGGAGGCATCTTTATGCCGTATACGTTTCCTACTCTGTTCGTAATATCGCCAGGAGTCAAGTTGCTTCCTTCAATTACATAAGTTGTATTTCCAGGAGTCAACTGTGCGCAAGCAGATATCTTGGCGTTAATTAAGTCAATTTGCGTCTGAATGCCATCAAGCTGTTCTACAATTGATACCGTTTTGTTTCCGTAAAGCGGCTTGTTGAAATAAACTTCTACTAGAGGAAGCTCTTCTCCTTCCATTGTCGCAGTATCTACTTCTCTGCCGTCGATAATTAAGTATGCCTTGTTTTCGTCTTTCTTTGACTCAACATAAACTGCGAGCTCAACATATTCCTTGTCTGACTTTTGTCCCCATCTGTCAAGCATAGTAGATGGAAAGTTCATATATTTAATAAGCATTCTTGTCGGCTTGCCGTATTTCTGCTCGCTGTTCATTGTAGACACGCACCAAGTAGGGACATTTTCTATACTGCCTGTGAACGGGTTAATAAATATATATCCTTTGCCGAAAATGCATGCTGAGCGGAATGCAGAAGATACCAAGTCATGCGCATTTATTTTGTCGTATAATACGTCAAAGTATTTCTGAATTTGCCTTACGACTTGCTTTGTCTTATATGTGCCTTTAACTGAGTTGAAGTAAGGCCTAACTTTTTCATTGCTTAATTTAGAGACTACGCTGTCAATAACAGACCCAATTACGTTTGTGTATGCAGACTTGTTGAGGTCGCTGTCCTGAACATGAAAAGCGTCGAAGCCTACATTAAATGTATCATATTCAAAGTTTGTTCTTAAGTCTATTGTAATGTCATTCAAATAGCGGCATATAAGATAATTATACTTATCAATATGGCTGTTGATAGAGCTGTTCAATAGACGTATGCTGCTATTCTTACTGAGCATTTGTCTCTCCCATCAACCCCTGCAGAGTGTTCTGCTTGAACTGAACTACTTTAGGGTTTGTTTTGTTTGCTGCTGCAACAGGCTGAGTTGGAGTTTGCTGTGCAGCTGGCTGCTCGTCTGGGACAGCCTGCTTTATTGCCTCGCTCCATCTTTGTCCAATGCTCTTGTTCTGTACTGCCATCAGTGTCTCCTTACATGCCAGGTATAACAGGCAATATTACGCCCAAAGCATCAGCCATGCCCTGCACTCTTCTTGTCTGGCTGTCGCTGAACTTGGTGAAAGCATCTATTCCAGTATTCAATGTATTGAGTCCCTGCTGAGCTGCTGAGTTTCCCTTGAGCGCGTTCATTGCCTTTGAAGCCGCCTTCTGGTCTATTCTTCCTGCCTTGACGCTTTCTGAGAGTGACTCAAGCTGCTTGGTAGTAGCTGTGTTCTGCAACTGCGCCGCTTCGTTCATTATCTGCTTCTGTCTTGCAGTATTGTTGTTGTCTACGGCTATCTGAAGCTCCGCCTTAAGCCGCTCCAAGTCCTGTGCATATTGTGCCTGAATATTAAGTATTGTTTCCTGTGTTTCCCTGTCCACTTTCTTGAGAGACTCAGTAAGGTCTTTGTCGAGCTTCTTGAGCTTTGCTTCAGAAGCTGTTTCCTTGATAGCGTCAACGTCTGCAGCTTTCTGCGTTGTATCAATGTTTTGTTCAGATCTTGTCCGCTCGTACTTGTTCTTTGCTTCTGCCTCTCCCATCGACTGTGCCTGAGCTCCTACAATTGAGTTGTAGTTGTCCAATGCAGTCTTGCTTTCAAGCATCCATTTTTCCTGGGCTCCTGTCAATGCCATGAAATTAATTGGAGGAATTCTACCGAACGACAAGGCTGTAGCCAATGCAGATACCGCTGTGAGTATTATCGAAGCCTTGCCTAACTTGTCTTGGCTTTCCCAGAATGAAGGCGCCTTGAACGACTGCACATCGAAAGATCCGTCTTCGTTTTTTGTCACTCCGAGGTAATGCTCTACGGCATTGTCTACTTTTTCCTTTGTTTCAGGGTTTGGGTTTCCATTCTCGTCGAAAGCTTCGTTCTGAATTTCTTCGCTTATCTGCTCTGCTTCTGGTCCCCTGTTGTATTCAGGTCCGTCGCTCCATCCTTCATCTGCTGTTAGCTCTAATTCTGCTGGTTCTGCTTCTACTGCTTCAGGCTCTGCAATTTCAGGCTCCACAGTTTCTGCTTCTGCTGGCTTAGGCTGCAATGCGTCTATAGCTTTCTGAGTCTTAGGTCCTGGAATATATCTTCCAGCCTTAGCTTCCTCAGCTGCTGTCTTGATATCGTCGTCTGTAGCAGTTCCAGCCTTAATTCTTGACTGCCAAGTCTCTGGTGTCTGCTCTGCAGGCTGTACTTGTACTTGTTCTGCAGCTGGTTCTTTTGCTGCTGGCTGGTTCATCTTCATCAGATGAGGCTTAAAGTCTATCGAAATTGTTCTATCCATTTCTCTTTCCTATCATATTGCTTACTATTGCGCCAGCTGTTGTCTTGCCTATGTCGCCAAGTCCGCTAAGACCTGCCATGCCAATTTGTCCCCATGCCTTATTCTCTTCTGCCTTAGAGCTTGCCCTCTTGATAGCAGAGTCGTATCCTGTCTGGGCTTTCTGCATGTCTGCATTCGCCTTTAGTTCGCCTTCTCTGGTTGCCAAGTCTGCTCCCTTAGATGCCTGCTGGTCATATCCTTCCTGAGACGCCGAAGCTGCCGCTCCCGCCCCTGCTATGGCATTTGCCAATTTTGAGCCTCCTGCCATCTTGGACGCTGCCATAGCCTGCTTCTTGGCAATTCCTGCCTTGTCTGCAGCTGCAATACCCGCTGCTCCTCTTCCTTCTGTATATGCCTGTTCGGCAGTCTTGATATTCTTCTTGGACGCTTCTATGTTTTCAAGCGCTTTTTTCTCAGCCTTGGAAATGTCGTCGCGAAGTCCGTGCTGCGTAATTCCCAAGCTGTCTGTAAAGTTGTCCCATAAATTCATTATCTAGTGCTCCCTACTATTAAGCCTGCTGTAGAAATAGCTGGGTTACCCATCATACCTGGCCGCAATAAAGCTACTCCTAATAGGTCATTATTTTTGTTGTTATCTGTTAGCATTTGTGTGGCTACTAACTTACGCATAATATCATCATGCATCAAGCCCATCATAGCTAGTCCTAATGTATCGTTTAGTTCCATAAGCTCAAGTTTCCTTTTACTTTATTAGTTTATATGGGAGGCTCTTTAAGTGCTGGTTTACGAAGCGGCCTTTCGACGGAGAATTTACGAAGTCCTGAGCCATAGAATAAGGTATGTCCTTGTATTCAACAACCGCGCCGTCTCTGAACTCTACCCTCATAGTCTGTTCTGCATCTGCAAAATAGTCTATTCTCTTTACATGGCTTGAAGGCTCTGGCCCGTTAGGGTGCAAGTCTGCTTCCCATGAAATTGCGTTGGGCACTGCAAATGCAGGATCTACTGATGGCGCATTCGTCTGAGCCAGCGCGTCTTCTTTCTTGTACGCTCCGCTCTTCACTTTGCCTATTATGCCTGACCACTTCTCGTAGTCTCCGGAGTCCGACCCCCATTTCGGCATACGCCATTTTCCTAAATTAGACCAACCACTCATTACTTCTTGCTCCTACATTCTTGACTCGAACGGGTTCAGTTGACTTTGTCAATGTCTTATACAGCAATGTTTCTGCCTGCGGAAGCATTTTTTCCGTAAGGTATTCGTTTCTTAGGCCGTTCATTGACGCCAATATTGCTGCCATCCTGTAGACCAAAACATCGTAATATACGTTCGACGGGTATGACAATACAGTGTCTGGGACGAACGAAATGAGATAATAATGGTTGCCGTCCTTATATACAGCGCCTTTTCCTGTAAAGTCATTTGTACAAAGCGCTTCAATAACTCCGAGAGTTTTACGACCTTGATACGCCTTGAAATTAAGCATATCGTATCTATTGAAGCCATTGAATATAAGCATAGTGCCGTCATTGTATGTCACCGCCATGTAAAGTCCAGACGGCGCAATTTTAAGGATAGTCTTGCCTTCTCGCGCAAATGCGTCTGTCACGTCTTCGCCTCCCCAAGTTACCTTGCCCCCGGACAGAGCGACAGTTTTGCCCATGAATGTCATGTCCTGCCGGTATGCTGACGCTTCTTCAGCTGTTTCTTCTTCAATTGAATAGCAGTAGTTCTGGCTGCCGATACTGTAGTAAATAAAATGGTCGTCTATACCTGTTATGACGGCATTTCCCTGTATAGGCAATAATTCTGGATCATCTGGCGCAGTGATGGTTGCAGGCGTAGGCACATACTTGACTGTGAACCTGCCTGTGTTCTTTTCTACTATAATTCTGTTGTTCTCTATCCTATAGGCGCCAGCTACGAACTCATTGAGCGGCGACTTGGCTACTGAAGTAAGCATTCCGCCGTTAGAGTTGTAGACGCCCTTAATTAGATAACAGTTCTTCGGCAGATCTGCTTCTGGCCCGTCAAATTCGAAATACTCTACGAACGCATCAGAATGATCTGTTATCTCGTTGTAGAGCTTTGTGTACTCTTCGTTTAGAATATTCGTCGCTACCTCAAAGTCCATCAAATTGCTGTTTCTAACCTGCCCATAATATTTGGCCATGCTTATGACTTCTTTCGCTGTTCTGGTTATCAATTCATTATCTCCTTCATCGCGCAAACCGCCAATACTGTTCCTGCAGCAACGCCTACAGAAAAAGAGATGCATCCTACCGTTATGCTAGTCTTCAGCTTTTCTGTTTCTGACTTCTTCAAGGATATCTCTAATTGTTCTCGTGCTTTCTTCAATTCGGTCGCTTGCGTCTCCAAGCTTGTCAATTGCGTCTCTATTTGTTGTATCTCTGTCTCGGTTATCACATACCTTTCTTCCGAGTAGGAAGGAAATGACAGAAATACATAGAGCGCCAAAAGCAATAAAAAAGCTTTTAATTTTTTCATGCATTCGGCTCCTCCGTTTATTTTATTAGTCTACAAGACAGCCCAAATATCGTCTTCAGTTATGAGCGTCTGCAAGCTGTCGTCTGTATCAGAAAATATGTTGCCGGCGTAGGCGTCGAATATAACGGTATCGCCTTCTTTTACTTTCGTTACTTCATCGCCGACCAACATAACTGTCGCTTCTTTTTTAACTTCTTTGCTTTCATCTGGGATAATAATTAAGCCAGAAGCAGTCTTATTTTCTCTTATTTGCTGAACCAATACTCTATTACCTAAAAGTTTCATTCTATTTATTCCTCTTTAATGTTTTTTTATCTACAGTCACCGCGATAGTTGCCGTAACCATATCCGATCCCTGCTAAATTCACCCCGCAGGCTGTGTTCCATATCTTGTTGTCTTTGCCTAACTTTGTTTTGCAGTCTGGGCATTCGTATTCATTTTCTGAAGAATACTCAGCCATTGGGACTGATACTTCTACTTCTTTATTACAGTTAGGACAGTTGTAGCTATATTGCATTATTAGTATTCTCCTGAAACAAGCGCATTGTATTCTGTCTTCAAATGGGCCAGAATTAACTCTGAACCCTTCTTAAAGTACTCAGCTGCTTCTAATGCTTCTTTAGGCATATCAGCTTCAGTCGAAATTGTCAATACGTCGCTTATCAGCTTTTCTTGAAAGCGAATTTTTCGAAGAATATCTTCGGCTATCTGTTTTTCGGTATCATTCATTTCTTTATGCTTCTCTTTATTTATATTCACCAAGCAACTCAAGTTGGCTGATAGTGGTACAGCCACTCTTGCTCTCAACTTCAGTAATTTCTGATGGTATTGTATCAATAACACTCTGAAGAGTATCTGTATATTCTTCAAGGTATGTCATGAACTGTTCAAATGTCTTGTCTGGGAAAGTCCTTAAGTTTTGCATTCTTAACTTTTGCATAAATATATTATTAAGAATATCTGCATTTACATTAGGCGCATACACTTTGAAGACTTTCTCAAGCCAGTATTTTGCTACGTATAAAGCAACATCTGCAAACTCTGGATAGTTTTCAAGTGTCTCGTAATATGTGAAATAGCGCTCAACCATTACTTCAGCGGCTGTACGTGCTATTGCTGTATTGAACGGGTTTACCTTAGATACGAATTCGATGGCTCTTGAGAAAGCAATTGCGGCTCCTATAGAGCATGCGCCATAGTTGTATACTGGTATATTTGGACGTTTATTCCAGATATTTCTTGTAATGCTGTGTTCAGAACCCTCATTCCAGAGATATGAAATATCATCAAGGATATTAATTTGGTAGTTAGTTCCCTCAATTAAGAGTCTGACTTTAAGGTTGAACTCAGAGTCTTCCATGCTTCTCAAGTCATCAAAGCCTATTTTATTCTCTTTCAGAAAACGAGTACTGTATACTCTTCCGAACATCCAGGGATGGGTCACGTCATTTCTAGGCATTAAAGCAACTGGTTGAACATTACCGTTTTGATCTGGTACGTTTCTTAATACTGAAACGAAAGCTGACTGAACTTCAATAACGTCTGGACTTATGAAACCGTTGAGCAGCTTTTCCAATGCAAGTGGGGTAAAGAACATGTCATCAGCGTCGACACATGTGACATATGGCTCTTCTACCTTGTCCAACCCGCCTTGTCTAGCAAGACCTGGTCCCACATTTTCAGTGCAGTCCAAGAACTCAATTGGAAATGAATAACCTGTCAAGTCATAGTCTTTTTCTGTATGGCCAGGGTTATCATTCTGCATATATACTTTTACATCGTCAGATACGGTCTGTATCTGAATACTGTTTAGAACATTACGGATGGTTCTTTGCGCGTTGTAGCATGGGATGACGATAGCTAATTTTTTCATTATTTCTTCTCTCCTGTTTTAACTTCCTTCTGAATAAGATCCGAAGTCTTTTTTATTTCTTTAGCAATTTTACGAGCTTTCTTAAGTCGCTCGTCTCTGTCCTTTAGTTCAGACTCCAAAACCGAAACTCTCTGCTCTAGCTCTCTTATAGCATCAGCAGCCTCACTTAATGTAGTTATTATTCTTCCCATTTCTATTTAGTCCTTTTTCTTAAAGATGCGATATGATCTGATCTGCCCCTCGGCCACTGTTACGCTGTTTTCTAGAGTATCATATTCTACTCCGTTAACAGTGAGAACAAAGTGAGTATACTTCGTTCGATCATTGTAATATTCAGATATATAAATATCTTCATCGCTTGGTTTAATTTTTGTGTATTTATATGTGCAGCCTAACCTAGCAGCAAGCTTATTATTGTCTAGCACGGATAAGTCCTTTGACAAATAACCATCATCAATTAGCTCGCGTATCATATCAAGCTTCTTGTCAGTGTTCTGAATACCAATAGACTCTAATATGCTTAATACATAACAGCCAGCGTTACCAATATTTTTCATTAGACTCTGAATTCCTCGATACATTTTATTTACCTCTTTTTAATGTCTGTATTTGGTCTTCCCTCAAAGAAGAAGTTCTCTGTTACATTCTGAGCGTCTGAATACTTAAGGTAATAATAGTGTCCGTCAATGCAAAACCTAACAAAAGGTTGCTCATACGGCGCAGAATTGTCTCTAAGCCATTCCCAATGGTTTTTCAGCGTGTGGCTCTTAATGTAGTTTATTTTCTCTTTTGTTGTCATTTAGTAGTCTACCTCTTGTTTAAGTTGATAAGTTGTCCATGCCTCATAAGAAGTTTCCTGGTCAATTTGCTTCTGCTTGGAATTATAGAGCACTCCGATAGCCCCGAACCTTGCAGTCGTCAACAAGTATTCGATCTTATAACCTTGAGGTCTCTTGTACCTAGCCATTATGTTTACCGTAGCTGTCATAACCAAGTCATCTACGTCTCTTCTGACTACTCCATGCAGTTTCTGTTTTATCGCTGCTTCTACAGCTCTTTGTACGAACATCCACATTTGGTCCCAGCTTTCTTTATCTTTATGTTCAAGCCAGTGGTCCTGGACTCTATAGAATTCTAATTCCTTTTCTTTCAAATTCTGCTTACCCATTCAATTCTTTCATCCGTTTTAAATAAAAAATTAGTCTGTCTAGAAAGCTTTCATCATTCTGGTAGTACCTGAAGCAGTTATGCAGTGTCTCGTGCATCATCTTGTTCAATGGTATGAACTTGTCTGGATCAGATATATCAGAATACTTGGCTTCGTCCATACAAAGATGGTGAAGGTTCCAGCCACTTCGTAAAGGCTTCTGTGATAGCGCATCTAAGCTGTCGAAACGCTTCTTGATGAACAGTCTCCATTTTTTCCATTTAGAACTGGCGCGAAATTTAGTTCGTTCTTTTGCATTCATGTGTTATGCTCCTAAATTTATTTAATATTTATTTAGTTACTTTATTATAATTGCAAAAATTCCAAAGATCGCTGTAACAGCGAATGCTCCAAAAAGAAAACCTAAAAAAAATTCCATCTTTTAACACTCCTTGATATAGTCATCATAGTATAAAATAACATTGCCTAAAAATGCCTCGAAGGTCTTCATATCTATCTTGGCCTGTTGGTATGTTATTTCGTTTAAGTTCCATTCTCGTATAAGCTGATATGGTAACTGTCCTAACTTAAAGTTCTTGTCGAACATTTTCTTTAATAACTGCATTGACTCAATAAATTGTGTTCTAGTAATTTCCATTTTTAATATCTCCTTTATATATATGAATTAGTAGGGTTACTCTAAAAAGGTTTAAAATAAAAAAACCTGAGACATTTAATTAGGTCTCAGGTTGATAGGAGTATACTTTTCAATGGAATTAAGGTTATCTTTATATTAGCCGATAATGCTTTCTATTACAGTCAATGCATCATCGTTGTAATAGAAAATATCGCACCATCTGCCGTTGTTAAGCTGTATTTTGCCTAGCCTGCCATACAGTGGGTCCTGCTTCAAGTTGTGTTCTGTAGCTATTCTGCCCACTTTATTGGCAGTAATTCCGAGCTTACTTGCTATGTCCGTAGCAGTGTACAAGTTGTTATGAAAGTTCTTGTTGCACTGGTAAATGCGCTCAGTCTCTGCTTCTGCAGCTTTCTTTTCTTCTAATGCCAGCAGCTTTTGCTGTGTTTCTGCAAATAATGCTTTCTGCGTCTCTTCTCTGGCTCTAACCTCTTTGGCGTATGCTTCTAGGGCATCTGCAAAATTTGTCGGCATAAGTGTCGCTTTTCTTGTTCTGAGAGCATGAAGCATCTTCTTAACTTCTCTCTTGAACTCCTTTGCCACAGGCTTGCGAGACAGCATCAGCACCTCATACACGCCGTTTTCTGTAAGAAACAATTCGTTATGAGCACTATTAAACTCTTCACTATAAGCAATGTTTATAGTGAACTTCTCATCTTCATCTACAGACTGAACCATTGCAGATACGTTCGAGTGTTCTATCCAGTCTGCTACGTCCTTAGCCCTGAACAAAGGCTCTTCTGCTGTTCCATATACACTGAATGTTTTGCCCATCAATGTAATTTCGTTTTCCAGTACGCTCACTTCTCTTGTCATTTTCTTTTCTAATGTTTTCATTTTAGTTCTCCTGTATCATATTTGCAAAGGGCCATTGCAGCTTCTACTTTAGCCTGGTCTTTCTGGTCTTCTGCTTCACGTTCCTTATTGCATTTCTCTGAAAATTCCTTAAATAAGTCCATATCGAGACCAGTAGTCTTCTCCTCACAAGGAGTAGAAGACATGGAAGTCTCGTAGCGAGCTCTTACTTTGTCAGCATATGCCTTTTCCGCATCATTCCACTTCTTAGAATAACCAATACCGTTGTTTGCTTTCAAATACTTGCGAATTGCATTCTGCCTAGCATTTGTCACCGTTTGTTTTGAATTTTCGTCGTCCTTAAGCAGTGGTATCAACGCAGAGTACTGATCTGTTTTAGAAGTTTCTTTTGAAAAATAGTGACTTTTTGAATTTTTTCCGCTTATTATATAAGCGCAAAAACTTGATAAAAATAGTGACTTTTTTTCAAAGTTTTCAATGCTCATTAATGTAGTAAGGACGCCTAAAATATCATTTATTTCTGTCAATTCAGTTGAAGACGTGTCGATAATTACGGGACTTGTATGGCCATCTGCGTCAGTAGATGGACTAATGATCCCGCTATCCAATGGGTTACCAACTGTTGTTTTTATCTGCTTTACTTCGCCTGAATAGAAATGAATTTGGCTTGAATATTGAGCTCTAGATATTGTTACATAAAGGTATCTTATCAAAAGATCGATATTTTTTGGGTTCCGTTTCTGCCTTACCGAATACATTAAATACGTTCATTTTAGTTCTCCTGGCTGTAATATTTTTCTATATATTCATTTATGCTATCATTAAGCATCTTATCAAGTTCTTCTTCGGTTAAACCACAATTCTTTGGCATAGCAAAACCATCATATACCTGAACAACTCTAATTCCCATTTCTCTTAGTTTTGTTACAAAGATCATATAAGCTTTAGACTCATGCACGAATATGTGTCCTGGGTTTTTATCTTCAATAGGAGTGCGTTTACCTTTTGGGTCTATGAATATTTTATTCTGACCAATAACTTTCTTCATTAAGGCCTGTCTACGCTTAAAGTCTTCAATAGCCATATCAACAAATGAGTTCCAGTCTGTATCTGGACAACCAAGCAAGTTATAGTAGCTTTTTGTCATATCCCAGTTATCACATGTAGTTGGCTTTCCTGCAGCAATAGCACCATATACTCTGTTGAGCATACCTCTAAAACGCATTGGGGTTGAGAAATAACACATCATTTGTGTCAATTTGAAGTATTTTCGTTCTTCTTTTGAAACAAATGGTCTACCGTTCATAAGTTCATATATATCTGTAGTATTTTCCAGATAACCTCTTCCGTTTAATGTTCTTGTTAAGTTATATATTGAGCCTCTTCTATCAAATTCTAGCCAATTGTCTTCACCGAACACCTTATTGCAGTACTTCTGAATTGTCATTGCGCCTGGCGCTATAGTATCATGTTTATCTTCATTGATATAAGAATTAACCTGTGCATAAGCTCTTCTGCCTGTAAATGACAACTTTTCGTCTTCAGGTAACTGGTCATTATTCCATGCTAAAAGTGTGTCAAAATGACCCATTTTACCAAGTGTACCCCCACTCGTGTCCCCATATAGAGAATGTATAGTATTATATGTAGTATTGGTAGATATAGTAGAGTGTGTAAGTGTAGATGAGAATGTAGATATAAATAGAGATACAAGTTCTCTCAGTCTATCTTTAGAAATAATATAAGATGTTGAGAATTTTTCACAAGTTTCTTTAACAATAAAAGAGTCAGCTACTTTAGCCATAGCGCCAACTTTTATGAGATCTTTGATGATAAGCAGCATAGCCTTAGAGTCAGCCTGATATGACTGCCTGTTAACAAATGGCATAAGTTTTCGCCACTCTTTTACATAAGGCTTATTGTTTCTGTGAATTCCCATTTTAGGGTAGCATACGCCTAAGTAATATGCTTCAGAGCTGATATGGTTGGCTTCCAACAAAGATAGGGCTGTATTTTCATCATAGCAGATCCATTTGAAGTTTCCAGATGATATTCTTTGAACTAAGAAGTCATTATAGCCATATCTTAATAATTTTAATACTAATGGCATAGCCTTAGCTAAGTTCTGACGCCATCTTTGACCCCATGCCTTTTGAATTGATGTGTAAGTATTGAATTGGATATGTTCTAGGGCTTCTAAATACTGCTCTTGAGTATAATAATTTGCTTTGTTGTTTTTGTTAGTGTTGTTGTAGTTGTTTGAGTTGAAAAGTTGAGTTGTTGTCATAATAAGTTTTCTCCTAGCCAGTAACTAGTAGGTCGACCATTACCAGCTAGGTTACTCGCTTAATTAGTAGTTTTGTTGTTTATATATTAACAACATGTTACTTTATTATATTAGTTGCTTTTTCAATTTTGCAACTCTTAATTAGTAGAATAACAAATAAAAGGTTATATTTTATTAACCCATCTGTTAAGGCTTTTTCTAAGCACTGATATGCGCCACTCAAAAGGGCAGACATTTTCAGAGTATTCGCCGTAATGAAATACTAGAATATTTTTAGGCTCGTCACAACCGAGATCTACATAATGCTTTTTAGTAGCTTCTGTAGCTGGTACAATAGTAAGCTTAAACATTGGATATTCTTTCTGAAGTTTTTCAAGTTTTTTCATTTGTTATCTCCTTGTTACATTTATAATATGTGAATAGTTTATTTTAAGCACAAATTTAATGCTATTATTATTAATGTATTCCGACAACTACTACTAATTTGGTATAAGAAAAAACAACTAAATAAATATAAATAGGAGAAAGTAATATGACAAATATTTCAAAAGAAGCCGACCTGGCAGATGCTATTGTTAACTTCTTAAAAGAAGCTAAACTTGATGATGTTCCAGACGTATATATTTACGTCAACCCTGAGGACTATGATGCTATCATTGACAGAAGCCGTTCGTCAAAGGAGTCTATACAGGCCAGCAGACCGTATATGCGCCGGAAGTAGTGGATATCATAATAGACAGAATAAACTCCAGAGAATATTGTTAAATGTAATTTCCTATATGTAACTAATTAGCCATATAGGAGATACAACAAATGGACAATAAGTTATCATACGACAAATTAAAGCAGTGGTATCAACGCAGAGTACTAGAAATGTTCTGCATCAGAAAGTTCTTTGGTAACGACATTGATATCGAAGAAGTTACAAGTAAGGAATGGCAAGTCAAAGGCGTAGACTATATTGTTATCAGACATAATGACCCAGAAAAGAAGCCCATCTACATAGATACTAAAGTCCACCGCTGGACTTCAGAAGTCGTTATAGCAGAAGACTTTGATGAGAGACCTAATTATAAGAACTATGGCTGGCTTAACCCTAATGCAGAGCATTTGACCACATATGTTCTATGGATAATTCCGTTCTATAAAGAAGCATTTCTTTTCAGCCACCCCATGCTAATGGGACTAAGAGATACCTTGACTTGGAAAACAAGGAATACATTAGCAACATGGCATCAGGATGGTAATACTTACAGCAAGGTGTTCAGACCTACAGAGTTACCTGGAAGAAAGATAAGCTGGAATGTGTTCGAGTACAACAGAAGCTTGGGACACATTGAAAAGAGTAGAGATATGACAGAATATTTGATATAAGAGGAGATGATGAAAATGTTTGGAAAAATTAAAGAAGAAGAGAGCGTGTTAGTAACAAAAGAATTTAACGAAAAAGAAATAGCGTGGGCTAAATTTGAATATGAAAGAGCAATATTAAGAGCTACATCATTAGATGATATTATTGAAATTTATCCCTACACACGGAATTTATGTATAAAAGGTTTTCCATGGTTTATTACGATGAATGAGTTTATAACATGGTATGAGAAAGACGATACAACCGGGGCATTAGCTGCTAAAATTAAACTGGATAGAATGAAGAACAACAGACCCGAAATTACTAAGGCTGACTGGGTTAAACAGAGACTTGAAAGAGGGACAATAAGTGAAATTTACTAGAGAAAACCTATACGAGACATATACAGAACTCGGCTTTACGGGTAGCATTGACTCTACCGAGTTTGCACTTTTCTGTATAAAACTAAACAATTACTTTAATATGTTGTATTGACATAATTTGTTTATATTCCTATGTTTGCCGGATGAATAAAACACCTACTAGTCTGTGAAGTAGAGTTAGTTCATCCGGCTTTTTTTGTGCTTGTTTGCAATTGCATACATATAATAAATAAAAAAGGAGCTTAGAAAATGGCAAAAACAATGGTAGAAATTCTTACAGGTATAGTTGAAAACTTGGTTACAAAGAGCCTGGAACCTGAAACAGAACTTAAACTTATCAAAGAATATAATAAGATGATCAAAGAGCACATTGCGCTTGAGAGACAAGCAAATGGAACAGATATCAAAGAGACAGTAAAGTCAGCATTGAAAGCAGGCAGAACCATCAGGCAAGTAGTAGCAGATACAGGCGCATCACAGAGAATGGTACAGGAAATATCAAAAGAGTGTAAACAAGTCGTAAACGAGGCTGTAAACGAAGTCGTAAACGATACGCAGACGGAATGTAAACAGGACGTAAACGAAGAAGACGACGGACCAGACACGTCTCATTTGCCATTGCATAAGGAGGACGCAAATTGGAGAAAGCAGTTCAGGCGAGCTATTGAAGAACATGAAAAACCGAAGGAAATGCCGAAAATGATAAAGCCGAATAACGACGAGTTCTCCGCTTTCGCGCAGGTACTGAAAGAAAGGAAGGCCAAGAAAGAAACTGGACAACTGTTTTAGACTTGGCACCACTAATTGACATATTATAATTGTAAGGAGTTAAACAATGAGAAAATTGATAACAGTATTGACAATGGTATTTGCAGTGGCTATTTTATTCCAGTCTTGCGCCACAACATCTAAGGTTACTGAGCAGCCTAGAAAGGACCCATTTGAAGAGCTATGGTTGGGTCAGTACAATTTTGCGGTAGTGAAATACCAACAGGCAAAAGAGAACATTAACTCTACTTTTGACCACATTGAAAACCCTGAACTCAGAAAAATTAATGAAAGAGCAAGAGAAGCTGACATAATGTTTTTACCTAGCTACATTTCAGATATAAAGTGGATCTGCCGCGAGCTTGACAGGCTGGAAGTTGAACATACACACTGGGGAGAAATTATAGATGAACAATAAACCAATTAGAATAAATAACGATGGTATTTTCGTGTATAACGAGCTAGTCGGCGCTTGGTATTACCTTTCGACGCCACCGAGTTTATCAGCCCACCATTCCCACGGCTGTTTATAATAATTAAACTTAATAAACCTGTGCAGGATGTTTCCTGTCAGGGATGGTATACCAATAACCACCAGATATAGAGGCCCTAATATTAGACTCTGTTTCTGGTGGCCTTTTTCATGGTTTACAGTACTTACTGTAAGTATAATATCTTGGTCAATTATTATGTATTTTCCCAAAGATATTCCACAGTCAGACAAGTGTTTAACTCTGTAAATTTCCCCACATTTGTAATAGTTTTTTCTATTTACCACTTTTACGATAAAAAAACCTAATATGTTCTGTGGAAGCTGCCATATAAAACTAAACATACAATACCCCAAAAGTTTAAGTGTAAAGCTCTGTCAGAATAGTATTTACGCCGTAACGCACACTATGCAATTGATCTGGGTGGAAAACGTCTTTATCTTCGACATATTCAATTTTTCCTGTTTCTTCGTTCTTTTTCCAGACCGCTCTGTCGCATTCTATATCGAAGTCGCCGCCTTTAAGGACCTTGAGTTTACCAGTATAACAAGCTTCATTAAGTCTGTTTATCTGATAAAGTAGGTCGATCTTGTAAGCATCTTGAAGCATAGTCAAGCCCTGCATATAGAGCTCTCTGTTTACGTTGCCGTTAGAATTGTCTGCAACTGCCTTGATGAACGAAAGGCCAATTCCATACTTCTCTTGCGCAATTTTCAGCGCTTCTTTTACCTTTTCAACAAGCTTAGAAACAGGTTGTTGAGCCTGTGACCATTCCCAAACCAGTCTCATGTCACCGTTGTCATTGTATAGAATTAAGCCGATAGCTGACTTATCGGAGAACCCCCAGTCTGCGCATATCATTGCCTTGTTAAATTCTGACTTGTTTAGCTCATCTAGATCAAAATACTCTCTGTGAGGTATCATCAATAAGTCTTCATCTAATACTGTCTCAGCTAAGTATTCTCGCCTATAAGTAGGGTTGTCAGGAGTCCAGCCGTTCTTTTCGAGTACACCTTCAAGTGCGCCTATAGGCACAGTAGGGTTATCTAACATAGTATAACGGAAATGAGCCCATTTAGGATCGTCACAAATTTGAGCATAATATGAGCCTAAGAAGAGAGGACCTGTACCAGATACAATAATTGTTGAGTCTCTACCAGTCTGTATTGGCTCAAGAACTTCTTTTATAAGGGTCATCAAACCTTTTATTGACTGGCACTCATCTATCATGATCAGACTAGAGTCGGATCCACGATATTTCTGTATTTCCGCCTTGGTAGAAGTTCCGCCCAATGCTATAGAAGAACCGTTGCTGAATTCCACAGAGTAATTGCTGTTGTCGATCTTGTCTGTCGGCAATTTACAGTCGTCTATAGCAGTCTTAATGTTCTCCCAAAAGATGTCCTTGGCCCTTGTCAACGTCAAGCCTAAAAGCAGAACTGAGCGCTTCTTTTGAACTCCGTTAATTAGATCATAACCCTTAGCGCAGTGACGAACAGCATAACGCGCCATGAAAAAGGACTTTCCGGTACGTCTACCAGCTATTAACTGAATATTTTTATTGTAGCAGTCAAGGACTTGCCTCTGCCAAGCAAAGAAGCCTCTGTCTATAAGGTATTCTATATACGAAGCATCTCCTTCCTTTTTGCTTTCGTAGTATTCGTTAGTTTTTTCTGCAATTCTTCCGATCTCTTTTATTGCCTTGAGAGCGTCGTCCGTGTCCTTGGTAGCCAATGCCTTGAAGTCTTTCTCCAGCATTTTAGCTAGCCAAGAGTTGGAAGTTGTCTTGCCGGTAAGAAGCAGTTCCCTGTACGAGCCGTAAAGCTCTTCCTTTATGTCTACGTCTTTGGGCGGCCTGTATATTCCGCCGGCTATATTCACTGAGTTGTCGGCATTAGGCTTTTTCATATTTTATTTCACTCCCACTGTATCGGATACCTTGTCATAAGACACGCCGATATAAGATATTGATACTTTTTTGTCAGAATAAACTGAGAATGAGAAAGCACAGCCTATCAATTCTTTCGGAGTAAAGCGAAGCCTGTAGCATTGTTCTTTCCAGTCATTTTTTGCTATGTGAACGACTTTCTTTTCGTCCTTTATTGCAGCCTGGTTCAATGTCTTAAGCTTAACAGTAAGCTCTGAAGGCGCCTTGTTTTCAGAATACAAAAGCAGATCCAGATAATTGAACTTGAACAGCGATGTGTCGTCTCCAAAGTATTCCGACTCTATTTCGAACGGCGTATCAACGCCCTTATAAGGATGGTTGATAGACCAGTGTCCGTTTTCAATTACAGCGCATCCGTCATTTGTTACATACAGCTCAGCGCCGTTATCGTAAGGGAATAAGGCGGATGTCGTGTCGTTCATAACAAATAAGCCGTCTTCGAACAGAACATATAATGTCTGGTTAGAAGAACAGAATGCAGCATCAATAATTTTTCCCATCATTGCGCAGTTCTTGTACATGGACAATGTGTTAGATCCAGTAAATTTCCAGATGCTCTTGTCAAGCGGGTTGTAGAAATACGCTTCTGTACCGCTGTTAGCAAGGAAGTCCATGCCTATAGCATAGCACACGAACTCATTTGCCGTCTGCTGCAGCAAGTTGCCTACGTAATAAATAGCCTGTCCGTCGTAGTAGTAACTGGAAGTTGAGATAGTAAATACCTGAGATCCGTAATACTGCTGGTTGGCAATACCAATTGCCAGGAAAGAAGTGTTGTTGCTGTTGTAAAGCCTACAAGAGTAATTGCCGTCAAGCTCCAATGTAGAGCTGATATAGTTCTTTCCCTTTATCTCTGTCGCTATGCCCATAGGGAATATCGTAGTGGCGGTGTCTATCCACCAAGACGTGCTGTCTTTCTCGCTGTCGAAGTCTTCAACGCCGCGAGTTAGTAATTCAGCAGTAGAAGCAAAAGCTGGTACCTTGAACGTTCCCTTGTATGTTATGTCTGTCGATGCCAATGAGTGAGTATAATAAACGTCTACGTCATCGCCTAAAGTGCAGGTATTTGCCAATAATGCAGAAAGAATTGGCGAGCTGCCTCTGATAAAGTTGCTGTTGAAATAGTCCAAGTCATTCGTATCGACAAACATTGTCAGCGTAACCGGAGGCAAAAGATAAGACGTTGATATATCTTTGTCATCTAGGTTTACATTATGGCCCGCGCCAAAATAGAATACGTCATTTGAAGCTCCGCCGTCAGACGGCATTTTCAAGCTGTACGGCGCCATATCAAGCAATGTGCATTCCATATTGTACGGCATAAATGCTCTTATTAGAGAAAGCTTTCCGTCTCTTGTTTCATTAAATGCGTTTCTGTCAGCCAAGATATTTGTCTTAAACTTATAGTCGGCTATCTTTTCAACCCTAATATCATTCTTGTTGGAAATTGTTCCAATTTCAATTGCTGTGTCGTTAATGATAATTAAGCTGTCGTCAAGCTTAAGCCTGTCAATTCCAGTACTTGCAGTATTGAGCAGCACCTTGTTATAAGACACAGACATTGGGATATTATTGAAATATTGAACTGATATATTTCCAGCCGTCACATTAAACGGCAGCGAAGTAATGACATTATGGTCGCCGGAGTTTACGTCGCCAATTGTATGCACCCAAGCTGTCCAAGATGCAGAAGTCGCTATGTCTGATGTTACCGGATGTATTCTTACGGTCAAGCCTTCTACTGTTCCCCAGACTGTCTCGTCTGCCTTTACCGTATTGTCGTCCCTAGACTCAAATGGGTAATATGCAGAAGTGCTGTGAGGAATAGCCTTAAGGCCCGTAGCGTCCAAAGTTGTAGCAGTCTTTGTGCCGTTAACAATATTAATGAGAACAAGAGGCGCTTCCAATACGGTTAATTCTGACGAATATTTCTTAATATATCTTGTATCAAAGTAACACTTGCTCCAGTCTTCGCCCCAGTCGTATACCTTGCCTTTATTGTTTACTTGGTTAGTATAAACGAATTTCATTGGGAAAACATTTTCATAAGCGTCGGCCAATGTTGTTGACCAGAAGTTTCCCATCGACGTAGAAGGGTCAATGCAAGACATAGTTAATGCATTAGCCATTGCGTCTGCAGTATGAGTAATTGGGGTACCGTCTATTTTATATCCTAATAGCCAAACAATATTTGTTCTAGGATGGTCAGCGATGTTAAATGAGTTACCAAATGTATCAGAGAAGCCAGTCGGTGTGCTTTTGCCCTTAAGCTTAGCTTCGCTGTCTGTCAATTCTGTTTCTATAGTCTTAGAAGCGCCCAAGTCCCATCTTAAAACGCCGTTAGGCATTACTGTTGGAGTCAAGTTGTTGGGTATCGGCTCACCTGTTACCATTGTGCGGCCTATCTTTCCGAAGCCGTATTTAGTGGTCCTGGCTGATAAATTGTAATGCCATGCCTTTCTGCTGTCTACATCGTCTCTTCCGACATACATGACTCCGTTCACGATCTTTCCGTTGTTGGCCGCATAAGGAGTGTATACGCCGGCGTTGTTGATGGTAACTACAGGGCCGCTGGAAAGCATTACGCTGGTTCTAGAGCTTGTGGTCCAGGAATAGACGAAAGTGCTTCCAATTAGGAAAGCCTGCACGTCGAGTACGCCTGAGTCTGTGGTTTTATATACAAGTCTGTTGGTAATTTCGCCGTCTGTTACTTCAATATATGTAGCTTCTCTGTCTTCAAGCAAAGTAAAATAGCTCTTGCCTCCTGCGTAGAAAGCATCCGTAACATTGCCTGAAATAGGACATTCAAGCTTTGTTACTTTCTTTACTGCTTTAGTTCCTTCTACCTTGAAAGTACCATTGAAAGTTGTTATGCCGTTGCTGTATTCCCAAGATATTGAGTTGCCTGTTGTAGTAGGTATTCCGTCGCCGGAAAGCTGCTTGTAGTTGCTCAGCACTCCCTTGTATTCAAGAGTGTTTTTCTTAGAGAAAGCGAGCTTGTCGCCGGCATGCGTAACGTTGTATTGGCCGACTTCTATGTCAGTGTTTAGCGGAAACGAATTTGCACCCAATTTTTCTACTTCTCCTTGGAAACCCTAATTTCTGTCTTGAGCTCCACTACCTGCATTGTCAGGTTGTTCACCATGTTGGTCAATGCGTCAATTTTGTCCGATACGGACGTCTTGATGTCGTTAATTTCTTCCTCGTGCTTTTCTACTTTGGCCGACAGTTTTGCCATGCGCCATACCAATGTTCCCACCGGCACCAGGAAAACCACGGCCTCTATAAGCATGTAAACATAGCTGGACTTATTCATTTCTAACGTCCCCTTCAATTTTCTTCTGGTATGCGTTGACCGGAAGGTATGCTAAAGGCACTGCGCAGAGAGCCAGAGCTATGTTGTTGAATTCCGATATGTTCTTCAAGACAATTACAGTTATGAGCGAACATGCCCATATTGTGATAAGCGTCTTTATTGATCTAAGCTTGCGTAAAAATTTCATCATTGTTCCAAGCAGTGGTATCAACGCAGAGTACTCTGTTAGACATTGTTGATCCAGATGTTGAACAGGCCCAAGTTGTTGGCGTAGTTGCAAGACGACACTCTTCTGATGTTTACCACCAGGTTCCAAGTTCCCCATACATTGTAGTAGCCGTAGAAGCTCAAGCGGCCGTAGTTTGCGTTAACTACTTTAGGTACAGCTGCATGCGTAATGTCGTTTCCGAACAGCATGTTCTTAAGGACATTGATGTTTGTGCTGTCTATAGTGTACCACTGTAATGGAATGTCTATCGTAACGTTAGGTCTGATGGCGTTGGCTATATTTGAGTCTGGTCTTCCCACAGAGCTGAACAGGTTTCTTAGAAGGCCGTTCATGTTGTTCCATACAGGCATTGCGTTGGCGTACGTGCTGTTCCATCTTGCGTTGAAATGGCATCTCATCTCTATCCTGATGTTAGTCGGGAATGTTCTGTCAGTAACCAGGTTCATCAGAGGGTTAACGTAGTAGTACTGCAGGTTAAGGTTGGACGCTATGAAGTTGCCCCTGTTGAACCTGAAGCCGTTGTCTCCTGCCTGGCTCTGGTTGTTGAGCACGTAGTTCATCCTGATCTGCATGTTGCCGTTTCCCGTAAGGTAGACGTTGTTCATGAAGCCGCCGTTTGACATGGATCCGTTTCCTCTCCAGTCGTCAGACTCTATCACGACTCCGTCAGAAGGGAAGTACAGTACAGAGTTGCTTATGGTCATAGTCTGGTCTGCATATCCGATGGCGCCTTGGCTCTTTATGCCCCTTAATGAAGTTCCGGGATAAAGCCCAACCCAAGAGTTTTCTATATTCAATACTCTTTTTCTGCCGTCGCTTGCAGGCGCCATGCTTGAAGGCACTGTGTTAATGAATGCGTTGTAGCATATCACCTGGTTGAGGTTTACGTCTAGGCGTGTCGAAGCAGTTGACCATCCGGTTATGTTGATGTTAGGTATAGGCTGCCTGTTCGTGCTGTTTCCGTTTCCGTACAAATTCAAGCTGAACCAGCCGTTCGCCTTAGGCTGATAGAAAGTCCAGTTGTTTATGCCCTTGACAGCCTTTCCGCCTGCGTCGAACCTGATGTTCAAGCCCGCCTGGTATAAAGAGCTGTTCCAATATCCTGCAGACTGAGGGAAAAGGTACAAGAGGTTTCCTGGAAAGCCCGCATTGCAGTTGAGGTTCTGGAATTCGATGTAGTGAGCCATCTTGTTCCACCAGTTCACGTTCGAGTTGTTGACTGCTATCTCGTTGCACTTGACGTTGCCGAAGAACTGAAGTGCGTAAACGCCGTTCCTGTGGAAGCGGCTTTCTGCAGACGACGTCCAGTTGTTGAGGTTGAAGCAGATGTTCTTGATGGTTCCGTTGCCCAAGTTGAAGCGGTCAAGTATGTTGTTGGTGAGCGCGATGTTGTCCGTTGTAGGCTTGTTCACGGCTAGCAGGTTTATGTTGCAGTCCCAGAGTCCCCATTCGCGACGGATATTTGTCGTCCTGGTAGGCTGGTATGTATGCTCCTGTAGTTCGAATACGTTTATGTTGCAGTTGCGCGCAAGGTTGATGAAGTTCGTGTTGTCTTTGTTTATGTAGTCTGTATATCCGCCGAACAAAATGCGGTTCACAGTGCACCTGTTAAGTGTCGTGAAGCTTCCGTTATGGCATACCCATTTAGGCGTATAAGAGTTGATGACAGAGTTGGAGTATATGGCCTGAGGGTACTTTAGCGGGCCGTTGGAATTAGACACGTAATACCAGTTTGTCGCGGGCCCACCAAGCATTACCGGTATGCATGCGCCTCCGCTTTCCTTGCTGTAGTAGTATTCGTACCATACTGTTCCAGAGCTCGGGTCCTTGATAAAGGTTGTAGAATAGCTCAGACCAGCCTGTCTCATGAGCTCTGCATTAATGCAGGCAAAATAGCCGTCTTCCAACGGGGAAGACATATAATAATTGGCGCCGTTGTTGTACTTGAGGTTGAGCATGTTGAGGCCTTCTATTCTCAAGGGCTTTCCAGAGTTTATCCTGTTCTTCATTTCGTTCTGGTTGTCGAACAGGCATGAAGAGATAGTTCCGTTCCATGAAGTGAACAGCGCCTGCGCAGAGTTCCTGTAAAGCGCCGTAGGGTTTCCGTTGTAAATTATCATCTCTTATTCTCCTTACAGAGTAACCAAGTAGAGCCTTCCGTTCGCCAATGTACCCGCTGCCTTTCTTGATGTCCAAGTGTCGTAGGTTATCTGCTCTATAGGCAGCTCAGGCACTGCTACAGGAAGCACTTTAGTCACAGGCTTTCCCATCTGAGCCAAGTATACGCTGTTGTCTGTGTTGTCCAATATCATCAGGCTTCCTGATGTAGAGCTTTTCTTCATAATTATTGCAGTGGCATTGTGTCCGTTTATAGTAGAGCCTGACTCACACAAGCCGACCGGAAAGGCGTTCCAGAAGTTGGCTACGGGCGCAACGCCTTCAGTAAAGGAAGTTGCCGTGAAGTCGTGCAAGTACTTGACGAGAACGACTCCTGTATTGCCGTTGACGCTCTGTACCAAGTTGGTGTCTGCTTTTCTGTTCCATTTGCTTCCGTCGTAGATGATGCCGTCACCAGCCACGAAAGTGATGTTGCCGGATCCTAAGTTTCTGGTTCCGCCTACAGAGACGATGTAGTAGTCGCCGGATGTTCCAGTTCCGTCAGCCAATGCAGGAGAGTTTGTGGAAGCGTTCCACATTCCCTTGAATACGATGGCTTCTGTAGGAAGCTGAGCCAAAGGAAGCTTGCCGTTTGCGTCCAAAGAAGCGACTCCGTTAGCCTCTCCCTTTGTGCTTGCCTTGATGTATGTTGTGTCTATCTGGTTGCCGTCTTTGTCTGCCTTGGCCTTGTTTGCAGTAGCATTTAATGTGCCTGATACTTCGATATTGCTAAACTTATTGTTAGCGGCAGCATATTCTATTGTATCGGCATTAACGCCTCTATCGAAAAGAATTGATGTATTTTCATGTCCGACTCCGTTTTCTACGTCAACGTCATGGGCATTTACTGTTGTAATAGAAGCTTCATTGCCTGAGAGCGTAGTTATAACTGCTTCTGTTGCGTTGAGATCTGAAGTAGTCACCTTTCCTGCAGCCCATTCGCCTTCAGTCACTTTGCCGAGCTTGGTTATATTGTTGCTGAATTCTTTTCCTAAGAGCGAGCTTCCGTCCCAAGCAGCTATAGTTCTTTCAGTAACAAGCCTGTCAACGGCATCAGACAATGTTCCATCTAGATGGTCAGAAGGCTCTACCCAATGCGGCTCTCCGTTCTCGTCTGAAGCCACATAAAAGCCTTTTTCTCCAATTTCAGTCGTTCCGTCAGGGTTTACGAACCTGAGCTGTCCCTTCAAGTTGAGGTTGCGGACAAGCTGGTCGACTTCTTCAGGGCCTATGACATACTCAAGCTGTCCCATTACGGTAAGGCCGTTCTCTACAGTGTTGTTGCCCAATACCACTGTGCGCTGCAATGAAGATGGGATATAGTCTGTTCCTTCCTCCGGCCATTCGTTGTAGGTATAGCTTATCTCCAAGTCTGGAGTGTCAGACAAGTCGTTTACGTCGAACACGTAGTTTATCTGGCCGTCGCATTTCACAGAGAAATAGATGTCTCCGCCTTCGGTATACCTGATGACGGGAATTTTGTCCAATGAAGCCTCAGAATAAGCCACAATGGAGTTCCTGCCGTTCTTTATTATCGTCATGTTCCAGCAGCCGTCAGAAGCTTCCATCTGTATCAAGCCTTTTGTGTTAGGCACTTTGACTACGTAATAGTCGTCTATAGTCTGAAGCACAGGGTGAAGGTTTATGAAAGACTTCTCGTTGCGTGTGTTCTTGCTGTTCTTTATCGTCAATACGTCTATGGCGTTAAGCTCTGCCTGTCCTGCCTGAATATCCCTGGCCTTTACCCTGTCGCCTACTTCGATGTCGTTAGCAACAGTTATGTCGCCTGTAGACAAAAGTCCGTCGTTATGGATGCTTCCAGACTCAATTGAGCTTGTCTCTACGTCTTCTGCAATAACCGACTCTGCGTTTACTGTGCCGGCTGACACGTCTTGCATAACTATGTCAGAGCTTATCTTATTTGCCTTGAGCTCGTCTATGTCAAGGAGAGTTGTGTCTACGGCGTCTGCATGAAGAGTCGTTACGTTGAGTCGCTCAAAGTTCGGGTGCACAAGCTCAAGCTCGCCTATTACTGCCTTGTCTATTCCCACTGTGCCGCTGATATTGGCAATTGACGCATTTGTGATGTCTGCAGCAGAAGCTGTGAGCTTGCCTATTCCCGCTGTTCCGAATGCAGCGATGGAAGCGTCTACGGAATTATGGTGCGCCTCTACGCTCTGAAGCGTGCCAGTGCTGATATTGCTGTTTTGGTCTTTCTTGTACTGGTCCAAGTCCAGCTCTACTTCAGTAACCCTTTCGTTTAGGGCATTGATGTCTTTCTTGAGCGGCTGGTATCCTGACTCTGGTCTTGTTACCTCATCTTCAATTTCGTTTAACATGCTTTCTCTATCTCCTTGAGTTTCTTCCTTAATTGTTCTAGCCTTCGGTGGTTCGCTTTGGCCATTGATGTCTTCTTGTCGTCGATCATGTCTAATGCTCGGTTTTCGAGCCTCTTAATTTCATCTTGAAGGTTTTTTAGTTCTGTTCTAGTCATTTATTTTATTAGTCTGCTATTCCTAATATGTGTTGTCCCACAGCCTGTACAAGAAAGATCAGTTATAGTATGTAGCCGTAAATACAGACAGTCTGCTTAAGGCTGTTTTTCACTTTGATC